TTTGTAATGTAAAGATACAGTTGAGTAGCTGGAGTAAGTTATAATCCGAGCTTCTGTGTGGTTTGTTGTGGTAGACGTTCCAGCTGTGTGTTTCCCCACATGATAACACGAGCTCTTTTTACACAGAGATGAGGCTACAGAGCCGCTACAAAGTCCCTACTTTGCACCACCTTTGCATGTTTAAACTGAACCAAACAACAGCGGCATCATGTCGCTTTACCTAGCATGCTGGCATATCTGAAGCAAAAAAACATGTGACAGGCCTGACATGTAACACTAAATCGCCAGTCTTTAGTGTGACATATAATATACCAACCCATTCTCATCCCCAGTTCGTCACATATTGGCGCTTGGTCAATGGACTCACATCTACGTATTACGCGCTATGTATCCTGGGTGCGTCTGTTGTTGTCTGCTTTCACAGGAAATATACAGTTTGTGTTTGTTAGATGAATGCAGTGTTTTTTCAAAATAAACCTGAATCAGTAAAACAGCTTATATTTACGTTTACTTTCCTGTTCGATTAAAAAAAAAAGCATGGTTTCGCTCAGCTTTCATATAGGAAAAGAACACTAGGCTCCCGGGTGAAAGTCTGGGGTTTGATGGACCCATCCATCGTCCTCTATAGGGACTTTCCAGCCCTTTATATTAATTCATTCATGTCAGCGTTTTAAACTTATGCCAAACTGATGCCGCCTGTCTGCATATCATACCGCTGCAACAGGTGCCATCCGGCTAACCGGCAGGGTATCATAATAATGCAAAAGGTTCTGTTCAGCTGCGTTTCAAACTGATGCTGCCTGGTGGCGTATCATGCTGCTGTGAAAGATGGTTTTTGGCATCAGTGTCTGACGCCGAAATCACTGACAAAGCGGCAGTATTCGACAAGTTCAGAATAAGCATACGCATCAGCAGCACTTTATGAACAATAACAATGATTTAACATGTCAGTAACAATCATTTAGCGTCCCTGTTATATGGTGGCTGATCTTGTCCTCTGCTCGGAGGGTAAGGAGCTCCTGGACCTCGTTGTTTTCACAGTTTGTGGACATATACAGCCGCTCCTTGAACCCCACCCCAGCTTGAACAGGCAGTGTAAAAGGGCTGCTGTTGGTTCTGTCAGCATGTTAGCAGATGTTAGCACTGCTAGCTGCTAGCCACCAGCTCAGCCACCTCCATGTTTAGAGCCATGAGCACAAACAGCTCATTTAAAAAAACAAATAACATTCTTGCTGATACATTTTGAATGCATGATGCAGTTTTAGGTTTTTGTGTGTTTCTTTGTTTCAACATGGTGAAAAATGCCCATCACTGAGGTCAGAGTCCAAACTGCCATCTTCACATGCTGCTTTGTTGAGCCAACAATCCAGAGATAATCACTTTACTGTTATATAAAACAGAAAAAACACCTAATTCTCACATTAGAGAAACTGGAGCCAGAGATGTTTGTGTCATTTTTGCTTAAGTAAACAACTTGGGTTTACTGACTGCTTAATCTTCTGTCGGTCAAGGAATCAATTAATTGACTGCTCCTTGCAGGTCTGATACCACAGAATAAAGCCAAAGGTATCGAAGCGTTCTCTGTTCATTACTCTGAGGTAAAGACTGTTGGATGAACTCTGTGATACCAACCATGCAGCTGGACAAAGATGGCCGACCAGCTCAGGAAACCAAAGCTCAGTAAAGAGATTAAGAGCCTCGAGAGCTGGAGTACTGTGATTCTTCCAAAGCATGAAAGAGAGCCATCTTGGATTCTTGTTTTGTATTTTATGGGAGCAGCAGTGGCTTCAGTGCTTTAACAGACTGTGAATCCTGTCTCCTTGTTATGTGTGTGTGTTGGTGTGAGCTTGTGTAAAGAGGAAATCGGTTGGCAGCGGGGAGTCTGTGCAGGTTTGGTGGGAACAGAAGGTGTCGGGAGGTTTGCAGAGGTTGTATTCAGGCTGAGTCTCTCTTTCTCTCCCCCCTCTTGTCTTCTCTTTTCAGATGTGGGGTGTGGAGCCCGGAGTCGCAGGCCTGTGCTTGTACCTCTCCAGGCAAGTTCATTAAACTTCATTTACATTGGTGATGCAAATCACACAGATACTTTATCCGGACAAAGACTGTTGCAGTGAACGGCGGTTCTTCCACAAGCCAAAGGTCAGCACACCCCCGTGCTTACAGCTCCAGGTTAAGTAAAAATGATGCTGAAAGAGCTTCTCGTTGGAATACCAAAGCACTGTTGTTGTGTTAAAATGGGCGCAGCCTCTCTGATAAGGTATCAGATTCTGAATGACACATAACTGCACATTCAGCATTGTAAATACAACCTGGGCTGTGCAGGAGAAACCTGGACTTCTGGTGGAAGAGTTTCAAAATGAATCAAAGAGAGTTGAGGTAAAGTTGCAGAAACACAAACACCGACATCACATGAACCTCAGGCAGAACACTGAGCTGGGTTCACTGGGAACATCTGTCTGGTTTTGTCAGTTGGACTGTCTCAGCGGTCTGGTTGAACGAGTTACGGGCAGGTGTGTGACTGTTGGTCAGTAAAGTTGTGTTTGACTTAACAAACAGGAGTTTTGGTGTTTGAAGAGTAAATAGATCTTTCAAAATGGAGTCCTGAAGAAGAAGCCTGTGGTGACACTGCAAGACATGGCCGGATCTAAAAGACACAACGTGTGTCTGTGCTGAGACCAGCAGGCACCAGAACTCATTTATCTATTCCACAAACACACTGAGACTAAACCACAAGACATCCAAGTCATTTATAAGATTACTTCCTCCTGTAACCACATGGTCCAAATTAATGAATACCAGAAGAAGCAGTGTTGTTTCCTTCTTTAAATAAAATCATATTTGTGACTTTTTTTCTGTTTTCTCAAACTGAGGTTGAATTTTTTCCCTCACATTGAAGAGAGAGAGAGAGAGAGAGAGAGTCATGTTTGATGAAGGAAAATATCACTAAAACCACTTTAAGAGCTGCTCACTCCCACACCAACTCACACATGCAAACCACACACATTACAAAACATGATATCTCTGCATCTTCTCCTCATGTCTGAACTGTCTTTTACAGTCATAAACATTCATAAATTTATCTTGATTTTATTAAGGAGAAGAATGTGTGTGCTGGTGTGACAGAGAGGGAGAGAAACAGCAAAAAGCAAAAAGGAAATATTCTTCCTGTTACATCAATGAATACTGATTTGTCTGAGTCACTTTGTGTGGGAGGCGTTTGAGCTCGACTGCTACTACCGATATGTGTGCACACAGTCAGGTCACAGTGCGCTTCACCAAAATGTTACGAAAGACTATGTGAAAAAAAATCTATCTGTCTATCCAGGGTACCCAAATATCTAACTTCAGATACTATTTATCTACATTTGTAAAATCATGCAGTCATCTTTGCATATTTAGAGATTAGATGTTTCTTAATTTGTGGATTATAAACAGGCTTGTGAGCACACATCAGGGAAACTTAACTTCCTTTACATGCGGGGGATACTTCTCCAAAGCAACAGGAGAACTGCCTGTTCTCAACATTTCAACATTTGCTCATCTTTGCCAAGAGGCAAATCTAGTCACAGCAGCTCTGCACAGTCAGGACATGGGCAGCTTATGAGACACTGGGCCCCTGGGGACAGACATGTAAAAAGCCCCACAACCTTTCCCACACAGGATTGGAAACTTACACACATTTTGTGGTGATATTGCCTCTTTTTTGTTGTAGTCATTTTGTGTCTCTTTTTGGTTGTTCTGCTCCTCCCTGTGTGTCTTTGTATCGTGTCTCTTTGAGGTGATTTTGTGGGAGGTTTTTTAGGTAAATTTGTGTCTGTTTTGTGTTGTTTTCTGGCTTTTTGTGGTTGTTTTGCCTCTTTTGTAGTCATTTTGTGTCTCTTTACAGTTCCTTTGCATCTCTTTGTGGTCATTTTGAGTCTCTTCCTGGTTGGCACATGTTAATTTGTGTAATGTTTTGCAGGTAAAGGCCTGAGGGACACTTTTAGCCCCTGGGCCTGTGCCTGGTAGGCCTGTTCAGTAATCCATCCATAGCGCAGGGTGTTTTTAGGATTTGATGACATTTGGGGAATAGCTCTTCTGTTGAGGGGCCTGGGGATCCTCCCATAGCACTTTTTTTGAAAAATAACCCGTATTTTGATACCTTTGTATGTATCCTGGCACCTCATTTACATTTAAAGTACAAAAAAATAATCCCAGTGTGAATACATTTGTCATCATTGTGAATCACAAAATGGTTGGAGGGACACCTGGCACCAAATTTGACCCATGGGCTGTAATTTGAGTATCACTGACGTACATGTTGCAGTTTAAAACAAATCAATGGGAAGTTTTGCAAAACTTAATCCACATTGAGTCATTTTGTAAAAATGTCCCTGCAGCAGAGATAATATTATTTCACAAATTTAATATAGTGGTAGCCTATTAAAAAGTCTGTCTATCCATCTATCTAACTTCCTATCTGTCTATCCTGTTTTAAGAATTATGCAGTGTCATGTGATGATGTTTGATTTCAGCTTGCACGCGACCCTCAGTTTAGATGAATGACCACTGTGTTTATTTGCAAACTTATATTTTGTTTGTATTGGTGGAAAAGCAGACTTGCAAGGCAGCCATTTTGTAATTTAAGAGAGATTCTTGCAAAGCTGTTTCTTGTTTTATTCCTTTTCTCCAAATATCCCATCAGCAGCCAAGTGAATCTTACTCCACATATATAGCAAAAAAATGTCCTAAAGCAGGTGAAATTATCAGTAAAATATTTAATATTTTTTGCCACATTAACTGATAAAATCCAGAGCCCACAGCTGAGAGTGTGAGAACAAAAGATATCTGAGAAGAAAGATGAAATTTTAAAGGATTGTGTCACTTCCTGTTTCTGCTCCCCATCCGCTGAGAGGACAACAGAGCCGTTCCGCGCTCTGATTGGTCAGCTGGATATCACAACGGCGCTGATTGGCCGAGAGATTGCCGCTCCTGAGCTTCTATTTTGAACATAAATACGAGCAGCTTCAGTCGCCTTTTCTCAGAAACCAGAGGCTGTCAGAGGGGAACCTGCTGCTCCGCTCCTCTCTGACACACACTACAGCTATGTGGCTTCATTAGGACCGAGTCAAAGTTAACTCCACACGGAACCACCGAGTCTCTTCTAGTCGGTGTGAAGGATCCTACGTTTGGAAATGCTTTAATAAATTACTGCTAGCTAACTGGTTAGCTTCCGGGTTAGCTCGAAGATTGGACCGTCTTGCTAATTCGTCGCTTTCAGACCAAAATTTAAGCTAAATCCTCCGCAAAGCAAAACTTCTGCAGGATTCATATAAATTCGGACAGCTAAGATGGAGTCGGGTAATATGTTTGGCTGCACCAGCCCTGTGAGAAGCGGTCTGAAGAGCAGGCCCGACGGGATCCCCGGGCTTTCCTCGCTCACTCTGCCCGAGCTGAGCACAAAGAACACGCACTGCAGGAACCTGTTCTCCCCCGGACCCGCCGCCGTGCTGTCGCCTGTCACCAACTTGGCTCTGGACATGAACAATTTAGCTGGACTCGGAAGGTATTATTATTACATTTTACGTGTTATACATTTTCTTAACCTTTGCTTCTGGTTTTTGCACGCCATGGACAAACATTAATTTATTCCCAGCATGCACAGTGTGGTTTACAGCCCATACCACTCATACCACTGCTCATCTTTTCCCCACACAGTCAATGTGATACACCGAAAAGGAGAAAGCACGCACCCCTGGAGAAGGTCCCCTCCTTTGCTTCTGAAGTCTCATCTGATGCCGGTGAGTCTCCCTGAAAGCCATTGTCTGTGCTAATTGATGCTGTTAGGACTGATGCCTGAGGCCCCATGAGCATCTATTGCATCTCATTTCATAGTCATGACTGTAAGATGTCTCCATGTGGTTGGTTTTAACCATTCTGTAAATTTCAAGCAAAACATTACAGTGTTCCCACCTTGTTAATTTTGAGGATTTGTTTCTTTTATTTGTCTTATTATGATAGTTAATTGAATATATTTAGACTTTGAAGTGTTGGTGAGACAAATCAAGCTATTGTAATGTGTTGACTTGAGCTTTCGGAAACTGTGAGGGGGGTATTCTCACTTTTGTAATTGGTCACAGTGGTGGAAAAGTCCATAAAGCATAGTACAGAGATATTTGTGTGTGGCAATATCGTGTCATCACTCAGTGTCAACTATCAATTTTTTTTTAATTCTCTAAATTATTAGTATGACAAATACAAATTAAACTTAAGGTAGCCTACTAGAATAATATCATCAATTTTCAGTCCACTAGATACATTTTGCTGCTGCAAAAACTGTCTGAAGTGAGACGAAGAGACTGAAAACTTAATTTTATTAGATGAAACTGTTGAGGACAAAATTTAAAGTTGAAAAGGGTCATAAATTGCAATATTTTATCGCAATATCCAGCATTGCATTTCTGCAATATTGCATCATGATGATATTGCATCGTGGATCCTCTGGTGATTCACAGCCCTACTCACAGCCCCAGAGTTGCAGTCACGTCACTCCTTTTTTACAAATTAAACTGCTCAGCAGTATAAAGTGACATTCAAATTTATCCTGAAGTTTTTGTGAAACTGGTTGAGGATTGAAAATTGTCCACCCACAGTTTCGATGTGTCTGTATTGTGGTTGTTGGTAGCAGTTAACCACCTGACTCTCGCATCGATCTGTGACACAAATCTCTTCTTTCAGGCCTCGGCATGGATCTCCCCAGCCCCATGGATGGTGTGGAAATGGAGGACACGTAAGTTGCACTGTCCTCGTCATGTCTGTTCTAATCAATCAGCCTGTGAGCTGTGCCCCTCTGCGTCCCCCAACACCAACCCCCCACCACCTCCGCCCTGCGCTTGGGCTCAGCTGAGCCAAGCTCCATTTCTCATCTGTAGGATTATGGTTTCTACCGTTGGCTTTAAAATGGCAGCGTCACTCGTTTTTTTACTAAGAAGATAAGCTGATAAGGACATATGAGCTCAACTTTCTTGAAGTTATTAAGTGAAGAAGACACACAGAAGGATGAGTTTTACATTTGCCTGAAACCTAAATGCAGGTTATCTTTGTTATCTTGGCCAGTTTGTCAGCATATCCCCAGTTTGCTAATCTTGGGTGGCCCTTTTCTTAACTCAGAGGAGGGTGAGTCTCTGCAGACATCTGTCGCTGTGTGATGTGCGAGTTCTTTTACGGCAGCATTTGGTCCTCAAGACCTCATTCACCTCCTTTACAGCTGCTCGGTTGCTAGGAGTCTTCCAGGTTGGGGGAGGACATGCCCCGCGCTTGGGTTTAATGATAGCCCACCCCCTCTGGGTTTTGGCACACTCTTCCTATGCACTGTTATTTCAATAGGAAAAGGGGGGGCTGGAGTTTTCTGTGCGTCGTGGCCATTGAAATGAGGGCACCCTCCCTTCTCATGGTCTGCATTGAATGGGACACGCTCTCTCCTCGACAAACAAAGGGCTCTTGCAGAAAAGGGGTTGGCGACGTTGGCTCCAGCAGGCATATGGTAGATTAGCTGATCTCTGCATCCCTTCTCCTGCCCTCCCTCCCCCCATCACACTGAGCTCTCTACTCATTTAGCATACAGGTGGGCAAAACTCCAATGCAAAGACCACCTCTTGCCTCTGCTTTCACTCAGCTTCCTCTCGTCCAACCGTTCCTCCTACTTTCTCAATAGAGCTCTAGCCTCTTTGTCTTTGTAGTTTATGAGCACAAGGTGTTCTGCAACTGCCAGCGAAGGCGGTCAGCGTATTTCCTCAGCAGGTTTGATCAGAAAGATGTGTTACTTTTTGTTCTGGCTGAAACAATTTGTCGGTCAATGATTAGTTGATCAAAGACAACATGAACAGATGGAAAAACAAGCAATTTAAGGACATTTAAATTCTTTACACAACATTATTAAATGCTTCTCCTACTTTTCTTTTTTTCAATCTTTCCAACTCATTGTGAATGATCTGTTATGTTTTCTGTTTCAGGTTTGAAAAGGCCATTCAGCAGTCGAGCAGAGTCATCAACGTGTAAGTTGCTTTCTAGTCAATACCATAAAATCATTAGCTTGTGTTTGGCTGTTACAGTATTGCTCTCCAAGGAGTATTTCACTCCTCAACCTAAAACAGCACGTCTGCCTGTTGATTTGATTTGTATTGACTACAGTGCTTTCCTTTCCCTTCTATCAATTGCAGGAGGATGCCAATTCGCAGAATCAACTCACTGCCGGTAAGAAGATTTGCCTTGTGTGTTGTTTACAGCTCTGCATGTCTTACATTAATGAGTCCAGATTCGCCAGATGATGTTAGAGTTTGGCCTGTTGTCATGTGGCTGTCCCCTCCACAACATCACATAGTTTAGCTTCCAAATCAGTCTCCAGCGTGCTTCTCTGAACTGTGGGCATGCTGACTGAAATCTACTCTTTGTGATATACTGTCTGTGGAGGAGTACCTCACGTGACCTCACTCCAAAAGATCTGAACTATCCCTTTAAGCCAATAAAACAAACCTCATACTTGTAGATGAGTTTGGGTAACAAGACATTGTCTTGAGGGCAGATTTTCATATTGAATGAATTAAAAGCATCTTCCAGTGTGAACCTACCACAGAGCCGCTTGTTTACAGCCACTGAGCCTCTGCTGACGTGGATCCCTCCTCTTCTCCCCTCCTCAGCTCCAGCTCCAGAGTTTCAGTCCATGTCTGAAGGGACAGGAACCAGATCCCCACCGCTACGGAATATTCGGACAACAACCCTCCCAAATAAACGCCTCCTCCGCCTCAGGACACGACAACAAGGAGAATGTGCCGGAGGTCAGTGATGCAGTTTGTGTCTTGGCTAGAACACATCACTGAAGAGATCCTGCAGTGTTAAATGGACTGTCAGGGGCAGTAGCAACCACAGAACTTTAGACAAGCTAAACAAAGCTGTTGCCGTGGTGAAGCATTGCATCATTTGGCTTAAAAGTTTGATAAATCCTAGGGTTTTATCATAGCTCTCAGAGGTACGGTTACTGAACACTGGACATTATTATTCTGTAAGTTTATGGTTTGTACAGATAATAAATGCCTGCAGAAATAATTGTGTAGCTCCAGAACAGATGAGTAGCCTCTGAGTTTACACAGTTGGAGAAATAGGAAAGGTTTTTTTATTCATCATGTTGAAAAATTGAGACAATTAGGGGCTGTGAGAATGCTTCGTAAAAAGTTGAGCATCGATTCACTCTTTAAAAAATATCCCTCTTTTTTTTCAGGAGGGCTTTGAATTCAAGAAACCAACAAAGCCGGTGTCACGGTGTCGTGTGCGCTCTTTCAACAGCGGTCGGTCAAAGGACGCGTTTGCCTGCCGTCCCAGCTCCGCACCGGCCCTCATGGTACGCGAACATGTGAAGAATCAGCATCGGCCTGTGTGCACAAACCTGGTTCTAGAAAGACTCTAACCCTCCTCCATCTTCTCCTTCGTCCAGTTTTCTTCACCTCCTCCAGGTCAGCAGCTGGACTTCTATGACTCCAGCCCCATGTTCCTGAGACGCTCCTCCCCAACCTCCTCTCTAAACGATGACGAAGACGACGGCTTCCTGGACGTAATGGATGACAACATGGAGGTGAGGCGTGTTACTTACACGGACATCTGTGGACATTTTGTAATAGTCAAATGGATTTCTTTACAGATTTTCTGCCAGTAAAAACATTTTGATGATATTCAAATTCCTCCTTTCTTTGGAGAATTAAGATGGTTACACTTGAGCCATATAACTTAACTCACACTGTCTCTAAATATTTGTCTGACAACACTTTCTTGTCACTGACAGAATGACTGTGGGATGCCGATGGGAATGGCTAGCCTGCTCACCGCCCCGCTGGTGGCTGACAGTGCAGGAGAAGACTCGGTAAGTTTGTCTACCAGGGAACAAATTTTATTCATACTGTATTTATTAGTCGTGTTAAGCTCACAAAATGTAAACGTAGTACTGAGTTTAATAATCTTTGCCCCCCTCAGCCTGTGATCCGCTGCCGGCCGCGGAGCCTGTTCCGCTCCCCCTCCATGCCCAGTCCCAGTCCAGTTTCGTCCCGTCCCTCTGTGAAGCGTCCCGACTGCCCAGGGGATGAAAACACACCAGTGAGGGTGAAGAGGCGACGCAGCCTGGCAGGAACACAGGTCACCACCCTGGAGCAAAACCCCGAATCCCCAAGAATGGTGAGTCCTCGCTGCATGGTGTGAACGAGACCATCAGTATTTGTCAAAGTCAGTGTGGTAACTGTATAAAATGTCGTTTAACAAATGAAACCGGTGGTGACATGATGAAAACAGGGGCTTAATTTTGACCAAACACACGGTGAAAGAGGCGTTATCACCTTTTGTGTATAAAAAGAGCTGTGTCTGTAACTGGAGCCTGATATCCAGTATTGATCAGGTCCAAGTCTGTAGCTACTAGCTGCTAACAGTCTTGTCTAAGGTCAGGCTAAAATGTTTGACTTAAAGATGTTTTCCAACTTGTATCTAAGTCGGTAACATTTTACAGCCTCTGTTCTAAACCTGGAAGGATTCGATTGTCTTTTAGGACGCAGGAAGTGATCAGTTGAGACTAAAGCACTGGCCTGAGTCTGCAGGGTTTAGTCTCCACTGACCATCTGCCGCCTCCTTATTAGAAGTGGAGAAATGGCCTCTGAGACATCCGCTGAGGCCGACTGGTTATTGTCCCTGGATTTACAGGCAATCTCAAATTACCTCATTTTCTCCTTGACTGCCTCCTTAAATCTCTCCCTCCTCTCCTCCTGCAGAGCTGCTCACTGCTCCAGAGGTCCAAGTCCTTCTGCCAGACAGACATCGAGAAGCTGCTGGACAGCGAGGACGGTTCCAACGAGCTAATTGGTGATTTCACCAAGGTAAGGACGGCCGCTGTGTTTCCCACTCTGTTAACTTTCAGGTGTTGAATTACTTTTCTAATCCAATTTCTTTTCTTGTCTTTCAGCCTTTCGTTCTCCCCACAGTGGAAGGCAAACATCAAGACCTCAAGTACATTAACCAAGACACGGTGAGTTGAGGCACTCTGTTGGTGTCTCTCACTGTTTATGTATAAAAATGGAGCACACTGTAGACTGAATTTTGAAATGAAATATTAAATTGAGTTGTTTGTGGTCTGCAGATGGTGGCAGCTCTGTCTGGCAAGTTTAATCATCTGGTTGAGCGAGTCATTGTCGTGGATTGTCGATACCCTTACGAGTTTGAGGGAGGACACATCAAGGTGAGCGACAGTCTCCAAATACGTTTGTGCTTGAATTAAAGACAATTGCTTTTCCTTGAGAAATATGTAGAAGTGTTCATCACAACTAGCTGTAACGCCTTTAGTTTGAAACTACAAGTCACTGTGGGCAGTTAATACTAAATACAGTTTGATAGGTTTTTTTTAAGTAATGGAGGATTTACTGCTGTTAAGTCTGTATGTCTGACATTGTTTTTGTCGCCTGTTAAAGGGTAACTTCTCCCCGTGTTTTTGTCGTTAATTAAATTTTATAAAGTGGTTTCTGTCAACTTTTATATGTGATGTGTTTAATGATGATGAAATGATTTGTTATTTAAATGTAGTCTGGGTTTGGTGACGGTGATTTCAGGGCTGTTTCTGGTTAAACAAAAAGGAACTTACTCTCTGTAGGGATCCTTTCATAATGTTGTCACACACTTAGAATAACAATCTGAGCCTGTCAGTGACAAAAACAAACCATTAGTGGACGGACATTGATGGTGCACAGTTGCCCATTAAGGTTACATTGCAGCCCATTTCACTGCAGCGCTCTCACGCGATACTGGACTAGTTACAAAAAATTGTTGTTCCCATTAGTCACCAGACACTTTGCCTTAGACACATTAGACACGTTGCCCTTTAAAGTGTTTCTGTCTCTGTGTCAGGTCCTGTATGTTATTAAATAAATAATTGTCTTTGTCATCTCAGGGAGCTCTGAACCTGCACCAGGAGGACCAGGTGGAGGACTTCCTCCTCAAAACGCCCGTCGTCCCGTTGTCCCAGGACAAACGTGTCGTCATCATTTTCCACTGCGAGTTCTCGTCAGAGCGTGGCCCTCGAATGTGCCGCTTCGTCAGGGAGCGAGACCGCGCCATGAACGATTATCCCCACCTCCACTACCCAGAGCTCTACATCCTCAAGGGTGGATACAAAGACTTCTTCCCTCATTTCCAGGTCAGTTTCTCTTTAGTTTGTTTTGAAGCTAAAACTGTGTCTGCACATCGAGCTTCAACAGAAGCCATTAAACTGTGGTTGACGAATCCGTGTCACCACAACTCCTGCTCAGTAACTGTTCAGGAGAATTAAATTTGTTGGAATTGCAATTTTTGGCAGTTAAAACCTGCCAAAGTTTGTTTTATGCACCGACATGTGATATGTCACAGCTAAAAACATTAAAAGCAAGATTGTGGCCTTGTGACACTAGCTGGGATATTTGATGTTGGATGTCCACTGTTTCATTGAGACAAATGGACTACTGTTGAAGGACACATTTCGGGACTTAGTGAAGGCAGATGACGCTGTAAGATCACGTCACTTTAACAGATGGGTCTTTGTGCATTCAGGTCTTGTGTCCACATGACATTTTTCATCAGCAGAAAAGCACGTCATCGTAGCGCCTCATTAAATAAAGCACTCAGAGTGCTTTATTTAATGACGTACTCTGCATTGGTGTTTCATGACAAAAAAATCTTGACACTAACATCAGCTGTGTAGCCAGCCTAATGCTCCATTATCAGAGGGTTGGTGACTGGGCTGGGTGATGTGGCTTAAAAAGAATATTGTGATCAGTGTCAGAAATTAGCAAGGGCCACGGGCCATTTGGCCCGCAGTTTATCCAAGAATGCCCCCAAAAGCCATGTTCCGGGGGCCAAAATTGCCCCCAAGTTTTTGAAACAACTATATGTATTTATATTTTTAACAGTATTACAATCTGACATTAAAGTATAATTTTATTTTCATTAAATTAATTTACCGTCACGTCTACAACTCATTTTCCAGACATAATCAACGAGATTGCACTGATTACGTGAGAGTAATCTGACAGAGAAGGGGAGGGGGCTTTGCTGTACCATAAATATAAATTAACCATTTCTTGGGTGATCTGTGTCGACACAATGACAAATTAATGAAAAATTAAGGTAGAATGAATGTTAAATTTTAAATTAACTTACTTCCAGGACTGCATCTAAGGAATTTATAGTAATTTGGCCTTTTTAACAGTAAAAGTAACTGTAATGTGGTGAAACATTAGTACTGCTATCAGTAGATTAATGGTTAAATCATCACATTTAAACTGGTTGAATTATAGGAAATCTGAGTGATATTTTGCAACCATAACTTTATGTAACCCATTATTTATTTCATTTAGTGGTTTCTACTGAAGAGTGAAGACACTATCTTAGTTGGTTTTGCTTTTCATGTGCTTATTGTTAGAACATAATTACAATTTTTTGATGGCCCCCAAACATTTTGAAAATACCCCCATTTTTTAGACCGTGGGGGCCAAAATTGCCCCCAAAATATTTTGTTAATTTCATACCCTGATTGTGATGCACAATGCAGTATTCTGAAATCTCTAAACTCGTGTAGACTATTAAAATACAACATTATTAAATGAACTTTATTTACAGTAAAGTTTAATAAAGTAGACACTGATGTATAATGAAGTTAAAGCAAATACTGTTTTAATACAATTAAAAGTATTGTTCTAACTAAATAAATCAAAGTGGAACCACTGGTGCTTTTATTTTGAAACACCTGTTGCTGTGAATTTAAAGTTTCCTTTTAACAGTTGTTGTGAGCAGTTAGTATAAAGTTAACCTGTTAGCGTAGCTGCCCAAAATATTAGCCTTTCTGTCTCTGTTGTGACGGTAGATATTAGCCTTGCCAAAGAAGCAGCAGTGACATCACCGGCGTGTTACTGGAAATTGTAGAGATTGTAATCAGAAGCACTCAGAGCAGGGGCACAAAAAAGGCTGATTACTCTGAAAAAACTATGATATAACACTATAAGCAGACACATTTATTCGCTCCTCACTGAGAAAAATTGAACAAGGCTGGTGCTGAGTAAAAAACACGACATGGACAGGCCCTAAGTTAGCAGCTAGCAGTGCTGACACTGCTGACATCACCAACAGAGCTAACAGTAGTAAGCAATGCTAAAGGTGGCTGGAGGGCGGGCACAGTGTTTCCTTATCAAAGCAGTTGGGTCAGGACGGCATCACAAGCAGTTAAAGCTGAATGAGCGGCGAGGCTAGGTGATATTAGCTCCTATGAGACCTGGGTAGTGTGCATTGCGATAAACTTTAGAAGCAAAATGAACCTTTAGACTGACATGTGACTGGTCGACAATATTTTCTGCCGTTCACCATTGACATTCCCCCTGTGAACATTTAGTGAGTAACTGTCCCACGTGGTGATGGTTGACTGAACCCCTCGGTGGCTCTTCAGCTCTTTGAACTGGTCTCATTTTCTTCCCGCGCAGTCACAATGTGAACCTCAGTCCTACCGGCCCATGCACCACGAGGACTTCAAGGAGGACCTGAGGAAGTTCCGCCTCAAGAGTCGCACCTGGGCCGGGGAGCGCAGCAAGAGAGACATGTACAGCCGCCTGAAGAAGCTGTGAGCGCCTCCTCGTCCTCCCAAACTGCCTCTAAGACACACTGCCTCCCCCTCAACGGGCTCAAGTACAAACTCCTCGCGGAGCCAGAGGCCCCGCCCCCACAGACGAGGATTCTCTTTTGGGATCGCACCAACAGAAGGGGATTTTCTAAAGTCCCAAATCTTTTCATTTAACTTTAGCAAAGTTAGTTATTTATGCAGATTGAAAGAGGGGCGAGACGTGATGATGAACGCTTGAGGTGCAGTGAACAGATTTCATCAAGAAGCAATGTGATTGATTTTATAACCACTCGAACCCACTGCCTGTTTGACTTTTTTATTATCACGCTGGCATTCGCAGCACGAATCACTGCCATGATGCAATAACCACACTGCCCAGTCTGCCGTTTGTCTTCAGTCTCCTCACTGGATGTTTTTATTTTGCTTCTGTCATGTCCCACCTTATTTAAGCACTTAATTTAAATACCTTGAAATGGTCAGGTGCTTTTTTTTTTTTTTTTTTTGGATACTGCTTTTATATAATTTTTAATGAATTTGTGTTTACGCCCATTTAAACTTTGATTCCTTCTAATAGTCTTTTCTCTAAATGTCCCAAAATGCAAATTGGATATTTTAACAGTAACGTGTACAGTGTGATATTCATGCAGCTTTTTTGTTTTTCTTTCTTTTCTTTTTTTCAATATTTGGTACCTCTGTGTTTTCTCTCGGTCAGAAGATGCCAAAGCAAACAAACTACCTGTTAACTGTGCAGTGAGATTTTTCGGATGCTGCAGGTCAGCAAGTGAGAGAGGGTTTTTGGTCCAAGACAAACGTTTTGTTTTTTGCTTTGATTCCTTTAAGTTTCAGAGACAACATGTCTTCCCCTCTGCAGAGCTAATGATGTCGGATTATCATGAACGGGGTGGTTTGAATATTTTGGTACAGGCTCGTGGGGGAGCTGCTGAAATAAAGAGCCGATGTGTGTTCATACATGATGTGCAGTATCTTTTCTTTCTTTTGATAACAATTTCAGTTTTGTCCTGGGATTATTCTCAGGTAGGGCTCAGTATCATTTGATTGTTTTCTCACTGTTGACAGGAGGATGGAAAGTTTGTTTTATTTTATTCCTTATGTTCCTGCAGGAATAGAAACATGTTTCATTTAACAACAGAAACAACAAATGACTACTGTCCAAACACAAGCAGCTTTGTTCACACTTTGCCTCAATAAGATGCCAATCCAAAGTTTACAGAGTGAAATTTTAAACCTGATTTTGTCTTATCAAAGAATAAGTAAACAAGACGAATCTGGTCAGGCGTTCAGTGCCAACTTCTAATGCTTTTTAGTTTTTGAATCTGCTGCTGACCCACTTCTACAGATAAGGGGCAGTAAATGGGTTTATAAAATCAGCACGTTCATGCTGTTTTTTTTGTTTTTTTTTAACATGAGTTGAGTAAACTTGCTAAAAATAGGGGGTAGACTCCTTTCTGTTGGCTTTTTCCAGGTTACCCATCAGGTAATCGAGCCGGTGCAGGACAAGTGCTCTGATTGGAGCTTCTAAAAAGGCGATGTCTATCATCAATTTCAAACATTCAGCAAGTTCAGTGTTGGAGAAAAACTGTAGAAGCAGCTACAAAGCTGTCAGCTCAAGTCCAAAGTTTATTTCGGATATCCACAGTAGGAGAGACTGGTCACCTCAAATACAGGCGGGGAGATTCCAGCAATGGTCTTTGTTTTACCACTCACTGATGTTAACTATTTTTCTTCAAAGAGGAGAAACAGAGAACGTTCCCATATTAAACCGTTTAAATTTCACACTTCCTACTTTAATTCTTAAATGCAAGGCTTTGCTGTATGTGTATGTGTACATTTACATTACAACACTCCACCTGTCAGCGAGGGCAGCAGATAATTCAGAAGACACTACAATCTCAACGTTCTGTTCACCTGAGTAAAGAGTTTATCATGTAGGGAACAGTGACGCAGGCCTTTTAATGAGTTAAAATGATCAGTTGAACCAATGTACAGAAGTCACAATGGGCCCCAGTGCACGCTGTTATGACAGGTTTTATCAACAGTGTGTTTTATTGCTGCTTATGTGTTATATCCACCTACAGATGTGGCCAGTTTGTCAGTCTTTGGAGATTTTGTACCTAAACTAGCTGCTGTAAATCTTATCAATAATTGAATGGTTAAACAGATTTGATATGAGACAATGTCAACATGCATATCATCCAATAATCATCAGTACACATCTGTATATGACAAAAACTACAGAAGAAAACAGGAATGCAGTTCCTGAAAATGTCTTAAATTCTATTTTACAAATATTAGGCCCTAAATGTCAATAAAACACCTTCAATTTGAATTTGTGAGGTCTTAATTGCCATAAACCATTTTTTCCATCTTTTTATTCCTTTTTGTCAACATGAGTCAAGCTCTTGTGCATAAACAATTTCTGGTGTTACAAACCTTAAAACCTACTGCTGAAACGAATGCTGTCTTTTTACTGTATACTTACACCTACTTGTTGGCTAAGTGTAGATTAACCCAACTCACTCTAATAACCATATTCCTACATAAAGCCGACCTCTGCATGGGGCCACATATATTTTACAGTTTAGATGTATACTTACCTGCAATGCTTGAATAAGAAAATTATGAGTCATCCAAAAATGTGTCTTAAATTTGGTTAAAATGATCTTATAAAAGTCTTAAAAAGCTTTAAATTAAAGTGTCTTATGCCTGAAGACACCCTGGATACTATTTTACAAAAACATGAAAACCATGATGGAGATGGTTTACCTTCTTGATGGCATCGAGAAAACACCACCATTTTTGATTTAATGTGAGTTGTTCTTTGAACTCAGTGTATTTCCAGGTGGTAATCAGGCCCCTCCACCCCACGGGCCCCAGTGCAACCACACAGCCTGCTCTGTCTGTATTTACACCCCTGAGTTGAGCAGTAAAGTCAGTCACCAACAATTATGATGACTGATTTATGAAGCAAAAATACCAAACATCCTCAGGTTGAAGCCTCTTCAGCGTGAAGACTTTTATCTGCTTTGTATTACAGTATTTTTTAGTTTAGGGCTGCTGGTCGAACAGAATGAGCAATATGAAGTTTTGAACAAGCAGTTTATGAGTCACTCTGAGTTTTGGGAACTTATTTTGTTGACTAACGAATAATCACTGCAGTCCAACTTCACACATCAGTCCAGGTCCCAGCTTTAAGGCACCTCTCGGTGTGATTCAGAGCCGTAAACCTGTTGACAGGCGCTCCCTCAGTGTGCAGGACTCAGTCTCAGCCAACAGGACTTTCCTCATGTGAACTCTAAGAATAGCACGTCTGCCGTTTCTTTGGTCTCTGCTCGGCGGGGACATGAGTTTTCCTCCACACACACTGACACAGAGCAGTTCCTGTTTTTTCAAATTCTCCCTCTCAGCCGACCCTGGGAGTGGCCTCTGCTGCAGCACGTGCCCGTGCGTACATACACACATTCCTATGTGCAGAGGGGAGTGGCTTTGTAGGGACAGCGCCTGGCAGCAAGCAGTTCCCCTGATGTGTCCTGACAAGAGGGAAAAAATATCAGCCACCACGTGCTGTAAACACGTGACCGTCCTCATAGAGAGGTTATAAGAGCGTGACTCCCTCCCCTCTGGCACTGCACCAAAGTTTGAAATCAGGCAGTTTCCCCGCGGCCGTGTTGGGACGGGACGGGACAGGGAGGGCCAGCCTGTTTGCATTCCTGAATCTAAAGACTCATTTACAGCCAACAGTTTGTAGCTGGCACAAGTGTCTGTTGGTTGTCTTGTGCAACTCAACTGAAGATGCTTTAACTCTTTCCTGGAATCAGTGCTGAGCTGTGGAGGGACGGAGGAAGAGGAAGATGATCTTAACATGAGTCTTTTCCATGTAGCTGCCACCTCTGACGGTTGTTGAAGTCTGAGGGGCCTCACACCTTCACAAGAGCCATACATAATGCAACACTTACAAAGCCTTTCAGGACAAGCCTCACTTCAACAGTTGGTTTTAAGATGCAGATGAGACCTTGGCTGGTCCCCTGAAAGAAAACCGAGCCAGACTTTTACAACTGGACTCATCCAATTAGGAGCTGGAGACTCGACAAAGACAATCTGGACCTTTTCTTCCGCCTGAGATTAATGATGTGTCCTGTTAGAGTTCCTTCTTTTCTCATGTTTGCTTTGTCAATAAATCTTAAAACATTCCATATAAATAAAAGCTGATGATAGTTTTTAGATACAGAGTTTTAAAGCTGATAAGTGTTGTTGTGTTGTAGTGAGAAGTGAGACCAGTCCGACGCACTGTTTCTTTGCTCCGTTCATACTGGTGAAAGGTCTGTTTATTCTCGTAAAATCTTTTTAACCTAACTTAAATCTGTCCATTTCTGCCAGCTTATTAAAAAATATCCTGTAAGTCAGTGTAATGGGAAACTTTCTAAAAATAATAACTTACTTATCTCAAAACAAATAAAGATATTAAGTCTCTCAATATAATAAATTTCACCTCAAAAGTTTCTTATTTTGAGTTAGTTATTTTGAGATAAGGAAGTCAGTTTTTTGAGAAAGTTTCTCATTGTTTTGCATTACTTAATTCTTATTTTGACACAAGTAAATCATTTTGTGAAAATTTCTCTTTATAATAACTTACAGGATCTCTTTCTTCATCACACTGATGGAGATGGGCTTCTGTAGTAGGCCATCTTATAAAGCTTAGCCAGCAAGCTAATGTTAGCTCTCGCATTATAGTTCACACCACCAAATCATTAGAGACCCAACAAACATCTGACAGCTTCTATTCAACAACAGTTTTGGTGCTTAGTGCAAAAAGCATGTAACGAACAGGCTCCTTGTCGTCCACAAACACCAAATTAAAAGTTGAGAAGTTTGCTAGGACACAAAGATGGTGCCCGCTGAGGGTAAGAAGTGTCCGTCATTACACACTCAACTTTTGGGCTATTTTAAGGGCACCAGTAGTACTCTGTATTTTTGCGTACTAAGCAGTGCGAACGCACTAAGTGCACTTAAAATATCAACTGCTTAGTACAAACGTCTGAGATTTGGGACACACTGTAAACCAAGCAACATGGCTGCTCATGGTGCGGGTAAAGAATTTTATCTTTGCAAAGAATCATGTGGAAATGTTAAAATCTGTTGGGATATCTTAGATTAATGTAAAAAAAAATTAATATGTAATTTTCATTGTTAGAAAAATCATTTTTCGAAAAATCGCACTATGGCCCTGTCACGTTTTAACTGTGTTTTAGCTAACTATTTCAGTGTATAATCTGTACTTTTAGCTAACTGTTTCAACATTTAATCACTGCTATTAGCTAACTATTTCAATGTTTAATCATTACTATTAGTTAACTATTGCTAATTCAACCATGCTGGTTACGTTTAGCTTACTATTGCAACCATTACCCATTACTTTTAGCTATTCAATGATATTTCAACCACTTATCAGTTACTTAGAGCTAACTGTGTCAACATTTAATCATTAGTTTTAGTTACTGTTTCAACATTTAATCATTAGTTTTAGCTAACATTTGCTGTAGTTCAACTGTCTGTTGGTTACTTTTAGCTAACTATTTCAACCACTTTTAAATACTTTTAGCTAACCATTGTTATTTCAACCGCTTATCAGTTACGTTTAGCTAACTATTTAAATGTTAAATCATTACTTTTAGCTAACTATCCCAATGTTAAATCATTACTTTTAGCTAACATTAGCTAGTTCAACTGTTTGTTGGTTACTTTTAGCTAACTATTTCAACCATTTTACATTACTGTCGGTTAACTAATGCTATTTCAACTGCTTATCAGTTACATTTAGCTAACTATTTAAATGTTTAATCATTACTTTTAACCAACTATCCCAATGTTTAATCATTACTTTTAGCTAACATTAGCTAGTTCAACTGTTTGTTGGTTACGTTTAGCTAACTGGTTCAACCATTTTACATTAC